CATATCTTGACAAAAGTTCTTGGTGTTGCACAGCATAGATATCTCTTATCCAAGTTGGGAGCAGGGTTTCAAATCGCGATCGCGGTCGTTTTTTCGGTTAATTCGGATTTACCGTGATTGTGGCCGTCGCAGACGCTATTGCGGCCGTCGCGGGTAACTCGAACAGCGGCGAAACCGCTATATCGCGGTCGAAATCGCGGTCGCGGACCGTTTTTCGAAACCCTGGTTGGGAGTTAAGGATGTATTTCACTTCCCAACTTGAGGGGGAGTGTTAAGAGTAAAGAAGCAGTTTGGATAGTTAGGAATTAGTTAGAAAGTTTGTGAGACATTTATGTTGTAACTAATTCTACTGTAAAGCTATATAAATGATGTATTTGGAGTAAATTAAATAATAGAGAGGCATTTCAGTATTTTTACCGTCTTAACAATATTCTTCATGAGAAGAGCTCAAAGAATCTGCATGAGAATCAGAGAAAGAATCTGCATGATTATGGGGATCTTGATCAGCCACCAATATGGGATTAATTTTAGAGAAAGATATAAGAATTTTCTTTGAGGGAGCAGTTCGTAGAATTGATTTACGTGGTTTCCGTTTTGGGTTACGGTCAACGATCATCCATGGATCGTATGGTTCATCGGGAATAGGTGTTATTGGTTGTAGTTGATCGATCGGCTGGGGAGGTAAGGGCTGGTCGGTAGAGTCGGGCGGTTTGGGTGCATGGGGACAATGTTCCTTGGAATGGATGTATTTTCCACACTGAAAACAAATGGAAGTCAAATTCTCGTATTCAATCAATTTCATGGTACTGTTGATGACCATCTTTGAGAGTAAAGGTTTTTTTAGGTTGATATTTACGGCCATGCAAGCGAATCTATCCTGGCAGCCATTGTCAATTTAGTAGTCTATTTTAATAACTAAGCCAATAGTGTTGTCGATGGCTTCAATCAAGCTTCTCTTGTAAAGGACAACGGGGAAGAAAGGAAAGCGCACCCAGTCCATGATGTGACTTGGCAGGGATTGGGAAGGTTGAAAATCAATATACCAAGGTTCCACGTAGAGGTAGTGACAAAAAATGGTCCAGGGTCCTTCTATGAAAACTTTGAGATAATCGCTTTTAGCACTAAACTTCGTGTGAAAAAATTCGTTCTCAATATTCATGAGCTTGATTTGATGTGAAGGTTGCCAGATGTTGAAGATCTTGTTTTTTGAGGGTATTGTAACTTATACGTCGGCCAAGGACTTTAACGACAACGGTGAGATCCATACTCTTAATGGTGAGTTGTTGAACTCTTTCGGAGAAAATGATAGAGGGGATGCCTTTGAGATCGCCAAGGGTGACATCGTCTTGTAGGAGATCTATAACATTGTCGTCTAAGTTGAATACTTCTTCATCAGGATGTGAATGTTGTTGACCTAAAACCATGTCTTTGTACGATGGTGGTGGAGGGGGGAGCGAGGGCCTTCACAGTCCATATCAGTGGCTGAGGTAGGGGAAGGGGGTTCGCCAGGATCGTGGGGAAGATCTTCACACCGGCGAGTTTTCTTGGCAGAAGGGTAGGGGAGAGGGTTGTCATTAAAATATAAAAAAAAAGTTTTCTTTCTTTGCTTTTTATCTTTGTTTTGATTTTTTAGTATTTCTCTCTTATCTTAGATGTTAGGATTGTTGGTTCTTTCTCATCTTCATATTTTTATTATTGTGAGCTCCAATGATGGGGAATTTTGTTTTTGGGTTATTGTGGAGCGGTGTAGCAAAGTTGGTAATGTGTTTGAAGATTGAAATGATATAAATTGTAAAATAAAAGGGTTAAATATGTTCAATTATCTAGAACTAAAATCAATTTGTTAGAATAAAAAATATTGAGTGAACAAAATTATTATTCTAATTTAAAATAAAAAAATGTCATGAGTATTGTTATTAATTTAATAGTGTGTGATTAAAATGATATAATTTTGCAATCTTAGTGATAAAATAGGAACAATTTTTAGTTTGATGATCAAAATAGAAACAAAGTAATAGTTGAGTGATCGTTAAGTAGTTTATCCATTTTTAGTAGAAACATAAAAGCTATAAAAAATATTAACTCTGTTAAACAATAGTTGACGTTTTTAACAAAGTGGTAATTCTGTAAAAAAAAAATTGACTTTATTTGATTACTTTTACTAGTACATAGATTAAGATTAACTCATTTAAATAGTTATGAGAGATCATTTTTAAATTGTATCTAACTTAAAGACTCAACGGTAGTTATTTTAAACAAATATTTTCTAGTATTTATTATAGATTAATAAAAAATATTTAGATCGACTTAATTAATTATGTCAATTTTATCTTTGGTTAAGTTAGTTTTTTTTTTTTAATTTTTCAGTTATTAAAATTCATAATTGAAAACTGATAGACCTAGTATATATGATTTTTAATTATTTTAAATATATAATTAGAAAAATTAACTTGGTCAATCGACTAAATTGATTGATGTTAAGTCGGTTTGGTTAGATCAATCTTGTCCAAGTTGATCGATCAATTCGGTTAATGTATGAAGAAGTCAACTAGGTTTGAAAACCGAAAAAAGAAAAACCAAATGCACACTCCTATTAATATGAGAGGGATTGATTTGAACTATTCTCCATAATTTAGGGACTAATCTGAATAGTCTTTGTAATAAAGGGATTGGAATGTCTCATTTAATTACATAGTACCAATGTTTTTAAAACTGTACCGGACCTTGAACCGGTGAAGGTACTGGTTCAATCGGGTTCAACCGCGGTTCAACCGCGGTTCAACCGGATTTTATATAAAATAATTTTTTTTTAATTTTACATAATATTCAAAACAATATTAATATATATATATAACATTTTTTTAAGTTTACAATATTAAAATGTATAAAAATATCACAAGTAATAACATATATAAGTTAAAAAACATAAAATCAAGTGAAACAAAATGATTCAAATCAACTACAACATAATAATTAATGTAAAACATATTAAATAATAAATATAATTATATAACTATAATAAAAAAATAAATTTGGGGCTGAAAAAAATCATAACAAACGATGTCGCTTGGTTTATTTTTTTTTTTTAAAAAAACAATCTTACATGGATAAGAAACATAGAAGAGCATCCTAAAAGTCTAAAGAGAATATGAGAACAAAACAATCTCACATGGCTAAGTCCCAACTTACTTCTATAAATACTAGAGGTAATTTGACATTCAAAATCATAGAGTCTTTTGGTGAGCACAGAGCGAACTATTCTTTCGCTTCAATTGAGCTCGAATTTTAGGTTTTAATCGAGCTTCTAAATTTTTTTTGAGGTCGATTCTTTTCGAGTTCAAGTTTCAATATTATATTTCGAGTTCGAGTTGAACTGGATAATTTTTAGCTCGTGAGTTTTTGAGTCGAGTTGAGCTTACTTTTAAAGTTTTTGAGTTCGAGTTGAGCTCAGCAGTACTCGAGTTCGACTCGGCTCGTTTAACAAATGAGGTCGTTTGGTTTAATTTTTTTTTAAAGAAAAAAAGAGAACCGGCGGTTCACACCGGTTTTACTGGTTTTCAGTCGGTTCACCCTGATTTTGCCGGTTCTTAGTCGGTTCTTTACCGGTTCTGTGCTCATCTGGTTTTGGGAATTAACCGGACCGAACAGGCCACAAGTTCACGGTTGAACCGGCCGGTCCGGTCCGGTTTTAATAACACTGCATAGTACTACTTCAATATAGTCTCCATAATAAAGGGACCTAATTGGTACTTTGATCAACTACATGCTTACCGTGTGAATTGTTATATTGAACCACGAAATCTGTCTATTCTCTTATATGTGCCAAAAATAATAATTTACTTTATACTTTTATATGCATGGATGAACAGAGAAGATGTTGGAAAATGCGCTTCCACTCTTAAAATTTTAAAGTTTTTATATTTTAAATATTTTATATAAATTATTTAATTTTATATTTCTAAATTTTAATATAATTTTTAAAATTTACGTCTCTAATTTAAATTTTTTACGTTTATCTCCGTTTATAGGAGACATAAATTAGCGAATTATTACTCAATTTTCAATGTAAATTTTTATTTCTAAAGTCGCAAAATAGTGTAACCATAACAAAAGAATGGGTAGGTACGAAGGATTTGGTTAGCTTATTAAATGCAGCCAGCAAGTCAAAATAAATTCTTTCTCTCATTTATCTTTACTCAGACTTATATGTAAATTTATACAATTGTAATTCAACCGCACATGTTTCACGTACACTGAAATTGTTGGACCCACTACCGTTTCACACCCAACTACCTTTTTTATGAAAAGAAAAATTTACAATTCTAAGAAAATTATTTTACGATTAAAATAAATTTCCAAGAACATGACTCTTATATTATTATATATTTTATTTAAATTTTAATAATTGAGATTTTAAAATTTAAAAATTAGGAATAAAGTTCAAAATTTAAGATATAATAACTTACAATTTTATATCTAAATATAAATAATTTTTTATTAATTAAATATAATCTAAAATAGAACAATTCATTGTATATTATTTGCATATTATTATCATGTATAGCGTTAGTGGGAATATTTTTAGAATAATAATAATAATTTATTTATTTCTTTATAAAAGTTTATCAATTAATAGTATTCCACATTATCTGATTTAATTAGATTAATTCTAGTTATTTTTGTCTTAACTAATCTAAATATATTCTAGATAAAAACATGTTTATCTTCGTAAAATAATTTAGATATTATTGAGAGACAACAAGAACTTGGACCACGCAGTTTGAGGCACAAATTCATCAATAGAAAAAATCCAACTCTAATTTAGAAAAATAAATTAAAAATAAAATGATATAATTTGTTTTTATTTTCCATGAAAATCACACACACAAACAAGGATCTATCAGTTTTAAGAATCCGACATGACAAGGCACAGCACACCTATACAGGGTTTCCCATCTGCAAAGCATGACGTGAACCGGTGATTGTAACAAATATTCTTCATGCTTGGTTACTTTTATATCTGGCGTAAACTATGTATTTAGTCACCCATCTTTTATTGTGAATCCATTTTGGTCATCCAACTATACCTTTTTAAAATCATATCTATCATTACGTTTTGATTCCACTTTTATCATCATCTGTTAAAAATAAAAATTACTTTTACAAATAAGTATCTAAAGTTTACTTTTATCTAAGTACCTAAAGTTTTTTTTTTATCAAAACAAGTATCTAAACATACTTTTTGGTCAAAATAGGTTACTAAAGTATTTTTTTGGTTAAAATAAGTACCTAAATTATTCATTTATTCATCTAAGTTCTAAATGAATTGACACATGATATTAATTAAAGAATATTTTAGGTATTTAAAAAAATTAAATACTCTAAGTATCTATTTTGACTGAAAATACTTTTAGTACCTATTTTGACCAAAAAAATAAGTTTATACTCTTAGTTTGACTAAAAAATATTTTAGGTAATTCAATGAAAAATGTGATATATTTTAGGTATTTATTTTTCATATAAGTAGTAAATAAATAAAATGATGGGCTACATGATCGATTATTTATGTTTGTGTTTTATCCAATTTTCATCACTGATTTCGAAAAACATGATATATGGTCACTTTAGTTTCTATTTAATTAAGATATGGTCATAATAAATTAACTGTCATTAACAATTAACATAATAAATGACATGGCAATTAAATATTTTGGTATAATCATACATGTCGTTCCTATTATTTATATATTCTCTCAATTTAGTCATACTTTTAATAAATTAAAATAAATTTAATCCTCCAAAGAGACTCAAACCTAGTTCACCTGAGAAACCAAATATGTACCCAATCATTGAGTCAAGAATAATGCTTGATTTAAAATAGACATCATGATGTATATATTTTTTTATCGTAGTGTATAAATAACTTAAATTCATAATATATATATATATATATATATATATATATATATATTAACTTTAAAATATATTTTTATATTAACTTATTAAATATATTTTATTATTAACTTAATTTAAAATATTTTTATTTTAATTTAAAAATATACATTTTATGTTAAAATATTTTGAAGTTAAGGTAATAATAAAATATATTAATAATTTAAAGTAACTATATAATGTATTTAGTAAATTAAGATAAAATATATACTTTGAAAAGTTAAAATAATAATAAAATATAGTTTTAAATTTTAGATAAGAATAATATATATATATATATTAAAGAATATTTTAGATATTTAAAAAAATTAAATATTTTAATTACCTATTTTGACTAAAAATATTTTAAGTACCTATTTTGACCAAAAAATAAGTTTATATACTTAGTTTGACTAAAACATATTTTAGGTACTTCAATGAAAAATGTAATATATTTTAGGTATTTATTTTTCATATAAGTAGTAAATAAATAAAATGATTGGCTACATGATAGATTATTTATGTTTGTGTTTTATCCAATTTTCATCACCGGTTTCGAAAAACATGATATATGACCACTTTAGTTTCTATTTAATTAAGATATGATCACAATGAATTTATTATCATTAACAGTTAACATAATAAATGACATGACAATTAAATATTTTGGTATAATCATACATGTGGTTCCTATTATTTATATATTCTCTCAATTTAGTCATACTTTTAATAAATTAAAATAAATTTAATCCTCCAAAGAGATTCAAACCTAGTTCACTTGAGAAACCAAGTATGTACCCAATCATCGAGTTAAGAACAATGCTTGATCTAAAATAGACAACATGATATATATATTTTGTAGTGTGTAAATAACTTAAATTCATAATATTATATATATATATATATATATATATATATTAACTTTAAAATATATTTTTAAATTAACTTATTAAATATATTTTATTTTTAACTTAATTTAAAAAAAATTTATTTTATTTTAAAAATGTATATTTTATGTTAAAATAATTTGAAGTTAAGGCAAGAATAAAATATATTAATAATTTAAAGTAACTATATAATATATTTAGAAAATTAAGATAAAATATATACTTTGAAAAGTTAAATTATTGATAAAATATATTTTTAAAATTTTAGATAAGAATAATATATATATATATATATATATATATTAAATAAAAAAATATATTTTTAAATAAGTTAGTAGTAAAATATATTTAATAAATAAATATAAAAAATATTTTTTAAATTTAATATAAAAAAATATGAATTTAAGTTTAGAGACCAAATGTATAATTATACCAAAATATTTAACTATCACGTCACCTAATCTGTTAACTGTTAATGGTAGTTAACTCGACAATTAATTTGTGGTGATCACATCTTAATTAAATAAAAGTGATCATATATTATATATTTTTTTGAAATCAATGAGAAAAATTGAAAAAACACAAACATAAGTAATCAATTATGCAGTTAATCATAAATAAAATTACTAACGTAACAAATGTTTTTAGTTTCCCAATGATGACTTAGTATTATTTTACGATGGTACATCAACAACAAAACCCTATTCTCATATGCAATGGGGTAATGGGGTAGCAGCTTCCGTGGAAGACCTCCGGCAGTCAGAAAATTTAAAATAAAGATAAAATGCAATGTATGTATATATAAATAAATAAATACATAGTTGAACAGTCTTTATATGCGCGTCTGTAATGAGGAGTAATCCTTGCAAATAAATTCCTGCTTAAAAATCTCTGCATATAGACAGAAACGTAAGACCCGACTAAATTTAAAAATAGGAAACATGAAGAGAATGATACACAGAAGTCAACGATAGCAAGCGACGAGAAGGAATAATGTCAAATGAGTTAAAACCTAAAGTAAGGCAACACTACTCCGCTATCCTAGTTCTAAGCCGTCATAAATTCCAATGACAGAAACGTATAAAAAGTATAAGTAATGGAAATTACTACAAAGGCATTAAAAAGAAGACAGAGAGGTTATACCCTATGGCTGTGACCCACACTACTCGGCTACCCTGGTCTTAAGTCTCCATACTTTTCTATCAGAGGTTATGTCCTCAGTAAGGGCTAAATCCTTCAAATCAGATCTCAAGCAGTCTTCCCACTTCCGCCTTGGACGTCCTCTCCTTCTGACACCGTTGGCTGTAATCGACTCTACCCTCCTGACCGCATCCGACAGTTTTCGCCTAAGGACATGCCCAAACTACCGTAGTCTTCCCTCCCTCAATTTTTCGGATACAGGTACCAGCCCCAAGGACATCCTAATAGCAGAGTTTGGTGTCATGTCCCACAGAGTCCTACCACATGCCCATCGAAGCATTCTCATTTCTGCGGCCTCCATCCTCCTTACGTGATCCTTCTTGATTGCCCAACATTCTGATCCATACAACAGCGCTGGTCTTATTGCCATTCTATAAAATTTTCCCTTAAGTGACTACGGGTGATCAAAATAGAATAAAAACGTAAAGTTATGTATAATTTGAAAAAATAATTGAGTGACCAATATAGAATTGTTGGAATAGATAAATGGCTACATATGTAATTTACCATTTTTATTTAATATATAAAAATTCAACAAAACAACTTTGCAAATACTACACATAAAAGGGCAAGTTAATATAATATAAGAAAAACAAAAAAGGAAAAGATATTACCCAATAGAAAATGCAGGGAATCATATGCCTTGCTTAACCCTTCAAAACTATTTCTGAAAGCTTCAAGTGATATGCTAATGGCAACTTCCTTTCTTTCATATATATATTTTAATTAGATCCTTTAACAACACTTTTATTTTAATTAGATCCTTTAACAACACTTTTGTTTAGAAGCAATTTCTCCTTTCCTTCATATATATTTTAATTGGATCCTTTAACAACACTTTTGTTAAGAAGGTGATTCAACCAGCAACTTCTTTCTTTTTATATATATTTTTGTTTCCCTTTTTTTCCGTCAGCTGATTGGCTTTTGCATGTGCTGGTTTTCCCAGGACAGTTTCAGCACTTGTATATTATTAAATTCGACAGAATCAATATAAAATTCTGTTAACCCAAGTTTTTTTCTTGTTCTGGGTTTTATTAATATTTTTCTTCAACGAATTGTGTGGGCTTTGGACCTAGTAAGTGTTTAAAAAAACATGGGTTTTTCTGATTTTTTTCTTCAAAAAACCCTTGCTGCTGTTCTTATCATCCTTCTTTTTTAATTGTTATTTGATGATTTTGTAAAACCCTCTGAATTGAATGGATTTCTTCTTGATTGCTTATTTTTCATGTTTTTTTTTTACCTTTTGTTGGCAGGTGGTGGTTGGAATCTTGAATTCATGATAATTTGAGACAGGAAATTTAGTTTTGTCTGGTTTCAGACATGGAGGTCTTGTTGATTCCCAGATTCATCAAAAGCATTTTGATTTTGTTGAGTCTTTGGTTCCTATGCAGCACTGCGAATGACTCAGCTTCTTCAAATTCATCTTCTTTGAAGCCAAAAGTTATAAATATTGGAGCTTTTTTCACATTGAATTCGGTCATTGGACAAGCAGCAAAGCCTGCAATTCAAGCCGCCATTGATGATGTCAACACCAATCCCAACATTCTTAACGGGAATCAACTGAAACTCATTGTCCGTGACACAAATTGCAGTGGATTTTTCGGAACAATTGAAGGTATGTTTCAATGTGTGCCTAAAATGTCTGATACTGATGATTTCTTGATGATTAACTGAACATTAGGCTGTTGGTCTTTGTTTGTGTAGCTTTGCAGCTAATGGAAAGTCATATTGTCGTTGCAATTGGTCCACAATCGTCCGGAATAGCCCATGTTATCTCTCATGTTGTTAATGAGCTTCATGTCCCTCTTCTTTCATTCGGAGCTACGGATCCGACTCTTTCATCGATGCAGTACCCGTATTTCCTCCGTACTACGCACAGCGATTACTTCCAGATGTATGCCATTGCGGATATAGTCGAATACTACGGCTGGAGGGAAGTGATAGCCATATTTGTGGATGATGATTATGGGAGAAGTGGGATATCTGTTTTGGGCGATTCCTTGGTGAAAAAGCGTGCCAAGGTTTCATATAAGGCCGCCTTCAGCCCTGGAGATAGTGAAAGTAAGATAACTGACTTGCTTGTTGAGGTTAACCTGATGGAGTCTCGAGTTTATGTAGTTCATGTTAATCCAGACACTGGTGTGAATATCTTTTCTGTTGCTAAGTCTCTTAATATGATGGCCGATGGTTATGTTTGGATTGTTACGGATTGGCTTCCTTCGTACTTGGATTCGATGGGACCGGTTGATTCCAACACAATGAATCTCTTGCAAGGAGTTCTCACTCTCCGCCATTACACCCCTGATACTGATCTCAAGAAGAGTTTTATGTCTAAGTGGAAGGGAAGTGCCGGTTCTGCAGGTTTCAATTCGTATGCACTTTATGCTTATGATTCGGTTTGGTTGGCTGCGCACGCCCTCGAGATTTTTCTCAATGAAGGTGGAAATATATCTTTCTCTTATGACCCGAATTTGCATGATACGAATGGCAGCATGCTGCATTTAGCATCACTTCCCGTGTTTAATGGCGGCGAACAACTTCGTCAAACACTTTTGAGGATGAACTTCACTGGTCTAAGCGGTCAGATTGAGTTTAATCCGGATAAACATTTAGTTCATCCTGCATATGATATTCTTAATGTTGTTGGAACCGGAACGCGTAGAATTGGTTATTGGTCGAATTATTCTCATCTCTCTATTGTTCCCCCAGAGAAGTTATATTCGAAACCCCCCAATACCTCTACTGGCAGTCAACATCTTTACAGTGTAATATGGCCTGGGGATACTACTACAACGCCGAGGGGATGGGTGTTCCCTAACAATGGGCAGCCTCTGCGAATCGCTGTACCCAACCGAGTAGGTTATAAAGAGTTCGCGTCGAAAGACAAGAGTCCTCAGGGTGTAAGAGGATTCTGCATTGATGTCTTTGAAGCCGCGATAAGTTTGCTCCCATATGCTGTCCCTCACACATATATGTTATTCGGAGATGGTAAAAGAAATCCGAGCTACGATGACATTGTCTACAAGGTTTCTCAAAATGTATGTATCTGCTTTAACTGGTATAGTTTAGCTGGTGGTAGGCCTTTGGATTTAACTAATCCGGTCTTGTGCGATGGCTTTAAATTCCCTACTCAAAATCGATGTTCTAGTAACTATCTTGACTCGCTGCTTTCTTCTTTAGGTATATGATGCTGCAGTTGGAGATATTACGATCGTAACGAACAGGACAAAGATCGTGGACTTTACACAGCCATATATGGAATCTGGACTCGTTGTTGTTGTGCCAGTGAAAGAGGCCAAGTCGAACCCTTGGGCATTCCTCAAGCCATTTACTAGGGAAATGTGGTTCGTCACTGCCGCATTCTTTCTCTTTGTGGGAGCTGTAGTGTGGATTCTGGAGCACCGGATAAACCATGAATTCCGTGGCCCCCCAAGGCAACAGCTTATAACTATTTGTTGGTTAGTCTATTTACCTCATTGGAAATCCTCTTTTCGATATATGGCTCCATCATAATTGTCTGCATTTCATGGTTTCGTACATGTTCACCGAGGCTGCAACACTAGGATCGGATTTGCCGTGAATCAGCATGGTCGCTGTTACTTACTAAGCTTTGTTAACATGTTTTCTCTGATTCCAGGTTTAGCTTCTCGACGATGTTTTTCTCGCACAGTAAGTAAATTATTATGGCCCTCTGGCTCTGTTCATGTTATTATCTGTAATATATGAAGCATTCAACAAAACTCGGGTCTAGAAACTCTTATAATCCTTTTTGCTTCGGCTTATTGCAGGAGAAAACACCATGAGCACTTTGGGACGATTGGTGTTGATCATATGGCTATTCGTAGTTCTGATTATTAACTCGAGTTACACTGCTAGTTTGACATCAATACTTACCGTGCAGCAGCTAACATCGGGGATTCAAGGGATTGATAGCTTGATCTCAGGTACCGAACCTATAGGAATCCAAGACGGTTCATTTGCATTGAACTATTTGGTTGACGAACTCAATATAGCACAATCTAGGATAGTTAAGTTAAAAAATCCAGAAGCATATCTCAGGGCCCTTGAGCTTGGACCGAAGAAGGGCGGAGTAGCTGCCATTGTCGATGAGCTTCCTTACATTGAACTCTTCTTATCGACCACCAATTGTTTGTACAAGATAGTTGGCCCGGAGTTCACAAAGAGCGGATGGGGCTTCGTAAGTATCAACCTTAAACTTCTTACGTCGATTTTACGGCATCACAACTCTAATTATCACTTCCGAAATGTAATCCAATGTAGTTGTCATTCGTTATTCCTGGTTTCAGGCTTTACAAAGGGACTCCCCTCTAGCGGTTGACATGTCAACTGCAATCCTCCAGCTCTCCGAGAACGGCGATCTCCAAAAAATACATAACAAATGGCTGACGCACAGCGAGTGCTCGTCGCAAGTCAATCAAGTTGAGGAGAACAAACTGTCCCTTAACAGCTTTTGGGGCCTGTTCCTCATTTGTGGCATTGCTTGTGTATTGGCTCTTACCATATTCTTCTATAAAGTCTTCGCTCAGTACCGCAGATTCAACCCTGAAGATGAGGAAAGCGAGGTGGAGGCGATCGAACCTTCGAGGTCGAGTCGACGGTCCATCCGCTCGACGAGCTTTAAGCAGATAATTGACTTTGTAGATAAGAAAGAAGCAGAGATTAAGGAGATGTTGAAGAGAAAGAACAGTAAGGAGAACAAACAACAGAACAACCAAAGTTTCTCAGATGGTCAAACAAGTTCACCTTCTTAGGAGGAAAAAAAAACAGTTTTGACTTGATCTGTTAGAACTGCAAATCTTCCTCTTTTTTCTGTGTTTATATTATAGATTAAATACAAATTCATTAATCGAACGATTAGAACTCCAATTCTTAGGGTTATTTTCAATTTTCATTCACAACTTTTTTAGGAGAAATATGAAAATAAAAAAAAATATTGGCCTCACTTTGTGTCATACCACAATGTAATACTAATGTTAGCTTAATAAAAAAACTGATAAATCCAACCCTTAATGTTTATAATTTTTTTTACTTTAATCTTAATTCTTTTTGCTTTTCATAACTTTGTCAAATTGTTTTGATTTTAATAAAATATACTATTTTGTTAATTTTATGGTGTTAATGTGGCAACTCACACAATCACTAGCGTGTGTTTTATTGTTAATGCGAAATGTCACATTAATGAATATTCTTAAAATTATAAAATAATTTCAAAAAATAAAATAAATTTATCTTGTAAAATGGTGCAAACGGTCCCGTTTACAGAATAGTGTTATATTAGTATTTAGTACATGGGATTGTGACACTGGCTGCCACATCAGCATCATACAAATTTTAGGGTTTGATTAATATTCTATTAAAATTAAAAAATAGGATAAAATACGTATTTAATTACCGAATTATTCATGCGGTTTTGTTTTGCTTATCTAACTATCTTTTAAAAGCATACTTAAAAATTATGTTTTAGTTTTGTTTTGGTTATCACTATTAAAAACAAAACTATTGGCGTGTCAATTTTTCTTTTAAAAAATTCAATGGTAATATTACATTATATTTTTTTCATTTTTTTGAAAGGGTAATTTGTATGCTTTATTAATCAATTGTGTGAGCATACAATAGAGACAAGGTCATGAGCCTCAAAATCTCCCTACCCCTAAATAGAGGAAGAAGTGTGCACCTCGACCTATTAGCAAGAATAGCAACCTCCGCTTAGAAGGCAAAAACAGAGCTATACATTCTACAGATTACTGAGTAACTAAACCGGAACGAAAACATAACTTTAGGTATAATTTTGAAAGAAAAATAATTGAATGGCCAAAAATTGAATCACAAGAATAATTGGATGACTAAATGACATAATTTACCCAACAAATATCGATCCTAAATTTATTTTTTATATTTTTCTAAGAATCATAACCAAATTGACAAATTTTATTATACTAAAAAATGTATTGAAAATTCGGGCTGGGATTGAGTTTAATAATTTACTTTTGAGATTTATAAAGGAGAAATTGGATATAAATTTAGTAAAAATTTAAATATAATTGTAATCACCATTTTCCGATTATTATTATTATTATTATTAAATAAAAATTATATTCCATTTAAAAAAATTACAACTCAAGACCCATCTACAACACATCCAATTAACCATGTAACCCCCTCAGACCGATGCATGTGACCCGATCCGATCTGGGGTGTCAGATTAGGGCCACTGGAGTGACCCACCGTAAAAATCTTGGAAAAATTAATTTTTTTATTAAAACATGTAAAATCATAAAATCAATTTATAAATACAAAAGTAAAATTTATCAGTATTCAGAAATAAAACAGATTTTCAGACTCAAATATATAACAAAATACAACCTACATGCCCCCTAATCACATGCACCGTACTCTGCAAGCAACGCTGGAAGAACTCCCTTACTGATGTCGATAGCTGCACAAGTTTGATACTTTTAACCTGAAATATTAAGTCAAAGAGTGAGCTTTGGGAAGCCCAATAATACAATACTACCAGTTGATGCTACAAGACATGCAGATAAATGGAAAGCCATAAAATTTTCTTATTGATTCAGACTTATACAGGTTTTTAGAATGATCTGCAGTACCACTGATATTTCTTCGAGTAACAAGCATGAAGATTTCAGTTCATAGGAAACATTCATAGTATCAAGTTTTCAGGATATCGAATAGGATGTCTAGTGTGTTCCAACCAAAACCAGTGAAAAGATATAAATCTTTTAAAACAGTAATTGTTTACAACATATTTTCAAAACCATAGTGGAACCCTCCAACCAAACTCCGTTATGCAGTGCCCCAGAACTACATCCATAAGGGCTTACCCTAAGCACACAGCAAAAGGGAGTCAACCTAAGGGAATACCTTGGGGTCTGAGAGCCTACCCAATGTTCCTTAGGTCCGTAAGGATTTACCAGCTGGATCAGGGATGAACCTCCATACTCCAAAATTTTACCTATATAAATTCCAGTAGAAATCAGTTTTAACCGTAAATCATAATATCTGGATCGTGATCCAGTAAAATCTCGGAACGTAACAATAAAATAAACCATATAACTAATTTCCACCTATACACTATATGTAGTCTCATTATTAACCCAAGGGAGTGCCTTAGGGCTTGATATCCTACCCAAGGGTCACCTTAGGTCCGTAAGGATTTACCAGCTTGATCAGAGATGAACCTTCAGCCTACCCAGATAATGTCCCAATAAAACAATTAAAGAATACCTAGTGAAAACAAAAAACCGTACTTCATAAACTAGTATAATTTCAGTATTCCATAAATTAAGAACAATCATATTTTTCAGTGAAAACCATAATAAAAAAACACATACCATGTAGCCATGGGTCATAAATAAATCAATAATTTCAAAACATATTAGGCAGTCATGTAGTGTGTGAGGAACACACTAGACGATTCAAGTATTTTTCAGAGGCACTTGGTAGTTATCAGTAATGGAAAACATGAAACTGATGTAATTTGATCGGATTCCAGGAATGAGGTCCTATTGAAAGGAATCGATTACTAATGGATCTAATAAGACATTTAAAGTTGATACTTTAGAATCCCGCTATGATCCAGGTGCATTAGGAAGGTGTTCAATACCTTTATACAGAATAATTATATATTCAGATTTACGGAGAGTGATTCTATTACTCATACAATCAGGGGTATTCAGGATTATGAATTGAATTATCAGGATTTTAAGTCCAATTGAACCAAATGGGGTATTCAGGATCCTTTGCATCTAAGTTACATGTGGGTTCAGATATGACCGAAGTGATTTAAGCTGATAAGGGAGAAACGAAGATTTAGGACATTTATAATCTATATCGATCTATCGAATTATCGAAATAACTTGAGCTGTACAACTCCCAGAACTAATGCATGTCGTCCAGTCAATTCGTTGCACTTCTAGAGTATTCACTCTTTAATACCAACAATTCTTGTCCATAGATCACCTTCAGAATCATCGCTGAATATATATCATAATAAGATGAACATATATTCCAATGGTCTTTAATTCATTTCCATATTTCAACAATATCAGGAATTGTTGATGCACTTTAATTCGTGGTTTATAACCCATAAGGACAGTACATCATGTAAGTTCAACTTATCCAAATCACTTACTTAATCCTCAGTTATTGAGGTTACTTAGTTCATTTAGTAGTTATGTATATCCCGGTCACTTTAGAGTTTTCCAGAATAATTCAGAAGTTTTTTACATTCGGATACATATGTTATTCCCATTCAGTTCAATTTGGTCATATAATAAAGTCATTTTGGTATTATAGGTTGATTTAATCATTTTAGTGCTTGAGGGTATTTAGATATTCCATGACTTGGAGATACTTTAGGTCATTTTACACTTTAGGGTCATTTTGGTCATTCTACACTTTAATGAAAGTTCTATAAATCCAATATAGATATGGAATTTAATTCAATGATTCCAAAGTTCAACTGGATCAAAACATAAGTTCTAAGGTCGTCTCTCTTATCATAGCCATCCATTGTTTTTTTTACTCTTTAAGCGTATCATCATCATTCTACTCAATTCAGGCAGTGGCATACTTTTGATAAATTAGGCTTGATTGAATTCTAATTCCTTTAGCATTCATGGTATTTTATTCCTTTGATCAATGAAGGTTATTATAGTTATTTATAGCTTGAAGACATTTTGGTAATTCTTTTCAAATCAAACATATTCACTATTTATGGTAACTATTAAGTATGTCTTTTTCGGGTTATCTTTCACCATCTGGGGAAGTATTGGTCTTATACTACATAAGGGCATTTTTGTAATTTTACCCCATAGGGTTATTTTTGGTAATTTCTTATCCGAATAATCCTGATATTTAACCTTTAAAGTAATTTATCACAATCTACGGATCTTGAAACCAATTCATTTATTATTGAATCACTGAACTTATAATTATTTCTGATTGATCTTCCAATTTCTCTTTATCGAGCCATCTGAGACTTATACCGTGTTCTGTCCTTAATCCAAATTACGTCTAAGTCCAATGATAATTAAATACATCTTATGGACCAATCATTTACATTCATGCAATTACCATCTATTAATGAGTTCCAAAAAAACATACAAAAGGTAGTAGAGTATTACCTCAATTTTTGTGCCATATTGATCGACCTTTTAATTTTCATTCGATCGCCCTCGAACTTTAATTCAATGTCCAAAAATTCCTCGGATACAAAGCAACCGAATTTACGTTAGAACTGAACTTAATTGAGAAACTAATTTGAATCCAAAGATAAAACATTGAAAAATAGCTTACCAGGTGCGAATTTGGCAAAACGGACTTCAGATTTGGACTCAGAATATTGAAAAACATAAAATAGGACATTTTCGGAAAAGTTGACGTTTTGGTCAAAGTCGAAGTCAACAGTCAGACCGATCAAACAGTCAACATGTTGACTCGGTCAAAGTCAATGAGTTGACCAGTGCGTTGACTCAGCGACTAGGTCAGGCAGGCGGGTCGGGTCGAGTCAGATAGGCCGGGTCAACCAGACTTGGTTATGGAAATTTTCCCAGGCCAAAACAAGCCCCACGCGCGTACGGCGGCGCGTGACAATGGCGACGGCCTCAGGGTGGTCGGCCGATTACTCCCTGTTCATGCATTTGACGAAATCAATCCAACAACATCAACAATCAACCAAAAACATGATTGAAAAACCTAAAAAAATGACTGACGACTTACCTACGGAGGCGACGGAA